CTATGTGTCCCTTGTTGATCCAAAGAGAGCACCCACACCCACATCCACATTCTGAAAATATCTAAAGCCTAGTATATATATATATCTATAAGTTTTTTATTCTCTTTAGATTGTATTCATTAAACTGAAAATATGTTGTATTGCAAAATATTAGACGTATTACTTATACTGTGCTTATTGGTGTCTATTACACTCGCCCGAGCTTTATCTTATGGCGACTTAGATAAAGATGATAATACAAAACTTTCCACGGCTGAAGAAAACAACTCCCAAACAATCTTCAATACACTTTTGGACAATGGGAATGATCACGACGATGTTAATTCAGTATATGATTTGTTTGAAGAACGAAAATTCTATAAACGGGCAATATCAAAATCATCACAATTATCACACACAATGTCTCCAGAAACTAGACAGGCTATGATTAAAATCATTGAAAAAGCTCTTGCTGAGGGTTGGCGGCCAAGTAACAGTCACTATGTTCCAAGGACACGGGGTCACGGGCGCTGAATGATTAATAGCAATAAAAAGAATTCGTGTATTATTTGTCAGATCTCAATTGAATCAAGATAACTGATAGGTGTACACAGTAATATGAACGAATTCAAATAATGGAGAGATATTGTATATGTATATAAAGTATTGTTCAATCTGTTACAGTCGCTTGAAGTCATTTTTTTGTTTTATTGCCTTGAAAAAACAAATAATCAAATAAATAAGAATAATTCAGAGAATATTGAATAGTTTGTTCTGTTAGTCAACAATCTAATAATAATCATATATGTACGATTTGAATGCTATACTTCAATTTAATAACATATCGACATGAATAGTTTCATATGAATGAATCTAATTAAATACCAGGTGATATTTATATAGAGTAATTGATTAATAGTAGTTCAAATTTTCAAAATATTGAGAAGTATACGAATTGTTTCATTAAATTTTCAATCGTAATTTATGTTTGTCATAATATACTAGCTGTATTGACTTGATATGAGACATTCTTATTATAGATTTAATTTATCGATCTATGTATGTATCTTCCAACCATTTGTCACGGGTTTCTTCCCTATTTTAACGTTCTGAAAATAAAAGCATAATCACTTATCAGTGTGATTATTACCCTATTCTTACTCACTCGGATATATCCAAACTAATCTACTATATAATATTTCTCACTCATTTCATATTTTATTCATTAAATACAAAACATGTTTTATTTCAGAATACTTTTGGTTTTAGTTATGGTCTTCTTATCGATGTCTATTACATTTGGACGACCATTTTACTATGATGAACTAACTGAAGATGATAGTACAAAGCTTTCCTCAACTGAAGAAGACAACTTTCAAACGATTTTCAATAAACTATATGGTAATGATAATGATCAAGACCATTATAGTTCAGAATATAATTCATTTGAAGAAAGAAAATTCCATGAACGA